AATTACTTCCTTAATTTTTTATTTGGGGTGCTATACATAACAAACTTTTGGGGATAAATTAAATTTTTCATATTTTAGTTGTTTTCAGTTAATTTTGCTCAGTTAATTTTGGTTTGTCCAAAGTGTTCATTGGAGTCACTCTAATGGTAATCTACATGAAAACATAGCAATACTTTTCTGATATTACCCCTTGTATTATATGACTTTTAAAGCCAGGCATACACTGTTAGCAATATGTATTTTCAGATTTTTTTTCAGGCACAAACAAATATTAAATCATACTCATACAGTGTTTCACAATTTGCATTTCTTTTTGTTTTTGAGATTTGTTTATTTAGCTGATTTTGTCATGTTAGTTGTTTTGCACCTAATATTCTACCATGGACACTGCCTTGAGATTTAGTATAGCATGGTCAGTAAGAGCATGGATACGAAGCCAGACTGTTCAAAACTCAGCTTTGACAATTACCAGACTTTAGATAAGTTACTTCAGTTTTCTGTGCCTCTGTTTTCTCATCTCTTAACATGGGAATAATAACATCATACAGTGTTGTGGAGATCAAGTGACACCTGGTATATATATGTGCATATATTGTTGTCATCACTAATATTACCTCATTATTTATCACTGCTACGTAATATCCCATGTTTTGAAAGTATAATATTTAATCAGCCCCTTATTTGATATACATATATCAAATATATGTATATTTAGGTTGTTTCTTTCTCACTGTTACAGTCATCTAGTGTTGAGTGTGTTTGCAGATTTGTATAATTATTTTCACAAGATGAATACATAGATACAGACTTTCTGAGTCAAAATATAAATACTGTTGTACCAAGGTGCACTTGCACCAACAGTGTAACAGTGTTTGTTTCCCCACATACTTGCTGATGCTGAATATTGTCAGCTTAAATATTATTGTTTGTTTTCTTCTAGTATTTTGTGATTGATAGAGTAGTTCTTTCCCCTACTTTTATATTGTACTCACGTTTTTATTCTATCTGAAATATATTGAGGTAGTAGTCTATTTTTTTCAAATGAGTTATTTCCAGTACCTCCTATCTCTTCCCTGTTGATTTGAAATGTTACTTTTGTGTCATGTACCAAATTCCTTTATATACTTTGATCTCTTCCTAGACTTATATTCTTTTCTATTGGCCTGTCTATTCCTATACAAGTACTATCTGATTTTAATCATTGTAGCTTTTGATATATTAATAGCCCCACTACACGCATTCAAGTATATACACATTGTTCCTCTTTATTAGAAATTTAGAATAATTTTATTAGGCTTTAAAAAAAATACCCACTGGAATTCTGTTTCAAAGTGTTAAAAGTACAGATTAATTTGGAATGAATTTGTATCTTTACAATATTGAGGCTTAGAACTTAAAATATCTATTCAGGGCCTTTATTTTTTTAATGTCTTATACTTGTTATAAAGTATATTGCTATGTATTCTAGTTTTTGTTGCCATTTTGAACATGCTCTTATTTCCATTAAAGAGTTTAATGTAAGGTGCTGATTATATGTACATGTAAGATATTAACACGTTTGTATACACACAGACACATATCCATACACATTTTTATACTTTTTAATACTTCAGTTCTCTTAAATTTTTGAACTTCACAGTCACATCACATGCAAATAATTTCCTCTTTCTAATGTTTATGCCACTTGCTTTTTTCCCTTAATTTGTCATAGTGACTGGACTCTAGAATGATGTTGAATGACAGTGATGAGAGCAAGCATCTTTGTTGATACTTTGTATGCACATATAATTCAATTAAAATGTTAAACACTTTATTGTGTTTATCACATTATTAGCTCAAATCGGCTTCTCTTCAAGGCTTGTTTTATATTAAACAGGAGAGTACTTGGGAAAGTATAACATCTTTTCCTACTCTGGAAACAGTAAGAGCATAATCTTTGACTAAGAATAAAAAGAGTAATAGCTATCTGAATTCCTGGAAGTTTACATCTGAGGTGAAAGATATACCCCCTCCAATCCAATGCCACATAAAAGTTATGACTAATAAAGAGATTCAAAATGACACGACATAATGCCATTTTTTGCACCCTGAAAATGAATAATAGGCCGGGCTTCATCTTCCTAGATATTAAGTTTTGTCACCTGCAAATAGATACAAGGTGTGGCTGCCTATAGCATGGGAAGCTAGATCTCCGCCAGCATTCCCTCAGCTTCTTCGCCCCGCTGAGCAAGTCAGTGCCAGTGAGTCCTTGGACCCTGGAAATGCTGATCTTATCTGTTTGAGTAGAGCTTAAAGGTCAGGTGTACCAGATTGTTCAGGTGTCTAACTTCAAGTTAACTCTCTTCTCTTAACAATTTACCTCCAACTAGGCAATAGGAAGCCAGAAATTTTACATAATCTCAAATGTAATCAAGAGTTAAATGTGTTGGCTTAGTTTTTTTTTTGACCTGTTAGCTTCCCCTCATTTACAGATAAAGATTGCACTTTGGATAATTATTTCATTGTTGTAGAAGAAGAAAAGATTTTATATGTTTTCTTAAAACTAGGAAAAAGTTTGCCTTTGGTCTACCCCTACCAGTTTCTATATTTATTGGTTGTTTGATATTTTTTATTTTTCAGTTTGCATTTAAATTTTAGTTGAAGTAACCAGCTTAATTTTTCAGTAGTCATAATCTTACTTAGATTTATATCAGTCTCTTTTTGTAACTTAGTAATGTTAGTATTTTTCTCAAATTTTTTTATTATGAAAAATGTCAAACATAAGAGAGTTATCTTGCAGAGTGACCCACATTCTGGATTTGCATGATTGTGTCTTCATGATTAATATAAGAATTTTTAGTTATCGTAGTCTTAAGGTTGGTTTGCTGAGAATAATTTGTATATTTGTGTCATGACACTTAATAATTACTAATATTAACGTGATTCCATTTCATTCTGTTACCGAACATGATCTTAGTGGAGAGATCAAATAAGTAATGGCCCTAAGAACAAGATCCTAAATTTAGAATATCTGTGTTCTCTCTCCATTTCTAACAAATATTTCCTCTTTGGCCTTGAATGAGTTATACAACCATACCTGTGTTATAGAACAAGCAGAATATCCTACCTTATTTTAAGTTAAGTGGGTTTCCAGACTGATATTTATAAAACTGTAAAAGATAAAGCAGAGCTATAATGGTAATAAGTAGGGAAATGATTGTGATATTTTTTTGGTCCTTCAAGCAAGTTTACACTTAGCATAAGTGTTATATCCTCAGCAGACATTTTTTGTCTCATATTTACATTTAGATCTCAAGGAAAGGGAAACTGACCTTAAATGCCTACTTTGTGGTAAGTTAAGCACTGTACTAGATTCTTCAAATGCATCTTTGCATTTCGTTTTTAAGCCTCCATCTCACCTTTGAAATGTGAATTCCTGCTTCCATTTTACAGACAAGGAAATAAAGGATCAGAGGTGTTTAGTAATTTGTTCTGTAGTACATAGTAAATGCCAGAACCAGACTGTGAACCCAGATGTTTGTAAATTTTCTAAGTTGAGTTTTATCATGAGAACTCTCCTTAATACTTCTGAATGTCACGTACGTTGAGTAAAGTCTCTCCAGAAAAAGTTGGTAGTTACTAATGAAGAATTTACACCATCTTCTTCTGATCAAAACCATTTAATGTATAGACAGTGTTTTTTAGGTATATTAATTTTCCAATTATACTACATCTCCTGTCACTGATTCTGTTCTAGGATGTTGGCAAAGGATGAACTGATGACCATACTTCAGAAATGTTTCAACGTTCTTAAGTCCTCTTCTGAAAAGGAACTTGGCAGCACAGCAAAGAGAATAGAGGAGTTCCTGGCTCAGTTTCAGAGTCTTGATGGTGAGAATATAATATCTTGCCAATTCTACTTGCTGTGACAGTCATTTAACTAAAATAACCTGGAAAACCCCACATTCTGATATATTGAAGATGAAGGGATAAAGGAGTTCATGATGTCAGTATACCAAGCCTCAGAATATCACATCTTGACAATCACAAACAGGCCAACTGATTCTCTTTCAGACTCGGTTTAAACAATGAAAAGCATCAAATAGGCAGAGAAAAAAAAATTTTTTCCCAGATAGATAGTTTGGAGGACTTACCTTAAAAAAATAAAAAGGCAACAACAACAAAAAATATCAAAACAATTAGAGAGAGTAATAGGTCATCATAATTAATGACTCCTTTTAGATGTTTTTTTCCTTAAGCATTTCATCAAGTTCTTTATAGATTTTAAAAACACTGCATAAATCATATGTAAACCTGAAAATTAATAGCTGTGAACTGCTTTCACAGCAGTGAGACCCATTGGTATGCTGATTACCAAAATATGCCTGAGGTTTGCTTTAATCAGATTTGCAAAAGCTCGAAAAGGCATTCCTCAGTGTTGGAGGATTGCAGTTCCCTTTATCTTTATGACCTCTACAGGATCATTTATATTTGCTTAATGAGGGTGCCTGATTGTGTACAGGTGGCCATGTCCGTTCTCCCATGCCCAGGACTTCTTTGTTCTCATGGGGCACCACAGATTGATAACTGATTATTAACTTTTCATGGTCTCTTGCTGTTTCTAGTACCAAAGTATGGTATTCTTTTGGTAAAACAAAACACAACATCTTTTATTTTCCCCTATTAGGGTAATTTTTAATGGATTTTGGGGGAAAGAGGCAGCTTGAATACATAAGCACATAGATTGGACTTGGCATGGTGAAAATATTTTACTTGGAATGCTTGTATCAGTCCTTTCTATGTTTGGCAAGTGTTCTTTTGTCCTGAAAGCCTTTGGATTTAGGAAACTGCTTTTGCTGAGTTCCCTCCATATCTCTCCCTAGTTGCAATGCTAGGCACCTGATGAGTGCTTAGTCAGTGGATGATGAAAGAGAAAGTTTGTTTGACTGAAGTGGCATGAGCAGGATGAGGAAGTATTCCCCCAGGTTGTGTGTAAGCATTGCTCTTTTGCAGTATAGCATGAGCTGAACTATTTTTCGAAAGGGCTAGAAATTGTTAATCACAGAGATCATTGAGTCTGGCTACATATGAAAACTAAAACCTCAGAAGAGAAAGTAACTTGCTTAAGATCTCACAGCTGGCTAGTGGCAGCACATAGACTGAAGCCTCCCTCTCTTAATCACCAGCTCAGCTCATTGTTTTTTCTCAAGATTTACAATTTAAATGCCCCCTAATTATGGTCACTGGGACAGTGAGGGGCCACCCTTAAGGACCTAAATAGGGTAGAAGACTTAGAAGAATATAAGATAAATTAGGTAAATTTCAATTTCAATCTTTTATAAAATTGGACTTATAGGGATTTTTGTAAAATGAAACTGCAGATACAATTTAATTATAGTTCATGTAACATAAGCTCTTGAACAAATTCTGTGATGTGCTAATACTAAATAAAGGAATGTAGTTTATGGGAAGGTTGGAGATTAAGATTATTAATAGTGTAAAGAAAGAATTTTACAGATTGAAGTATATCCATTGTCTTGAAGTGTCTATGTTTCTCTGTTTTCAAAAGTGACACATTGTTAATAATAAAGTGAAATAAAAACTCCCTATGTTGGATTTGACTATATGCTATCTCTGGTTCCTTAAATATTATAGTCTCAGTTTAAATTTGTGTTTGGAGGATTAAGTAAGTCAGTGTCATATTAGATTTATTTTTAAGGCTCTGCTATATGTTAGTGAAATGGGACAGAGAATTTAATCGATATTTTAACCTTAAATTATATCTTTCTTGAACCAGGAATTATCCACAGCTAAAAAGAAATTTTTTAAAAACAATGCACATTCTCCAGCTGCATCCTCCTGTATTTAGATTAGGCCAATACGCCATGTGAATGTGAAGTTCCTAGAACCTGCCCTGCACTAGGTAGAGGGCGTTGGAGCCTCATGCTCTCCAAAGCATAACTATACCTTTTACCAGATATGGTTTTCTGTTCTCTTTGCTAAAGAGCCATGATGTACTTTGTATTTTAGTAGATTATTTCAAAACTTTTACGTACTACACTCTTCATTACTCAAATAGCATTTTGTCAAAAACAGTGCATTGGAAGATTGAGGCCAAGCTTGCCAGGGTGTAGGTTTGTTTTGTTTATAATCTTGGCATAATCAAAGGAATACAATTTAAATTTATTTTTTATTTTTTATTTTTTTTAAAGCCATTTATAACAACACAAAGATTTGGAGCTTTTTGCTGTTGGTTTGGGGAGATTTTATTTGTACTTTTTTGTTTTCCGTGTGGTCACATTTTTAAAATTCAGTAGCTGGTTTTTTTCAAGACCTCTGCAGCGTAACGTATGTAATATTTGTTTACTTTCTGGAAAAAATCATTTGTTTGATGGACCCTTGATCCGTTGCCACATTAAGAAAAAAAAATAGATGAAACTTTATTTCCCTTGGAGTAGTAGAAATGTTGATTTTGTTCACTTGAATGGATTTACTCTAGTTGCTGTATATTGGTTTTGTATTAAAAACAGAAGCAAAAGAGGAAGAAGATACTTCTGGGTCACAGTCAAAGGGGCTTCAGAAGACAGATCTCTATCATCTTCAGAAGGTCAGGTCATTTCCTTTCAGCTACAGCCTGTGACACTCCCCTTTTTTGGTATGTGCTCAAGATCAGCTCTGCTGGGATGTTTTTTTTTTCCTTTTTTTTTTCTTCTAGTAAGTTTTACTTTAAAATAAAATTTTTTTTAATTAAAATTAGTTTCAAGTATACAGTACATTGGTTAGATATCTGTATTATTCATAAAACAATTCCCCCAATTGCTCCCTCCCTCCCCTGGCCCTCTACTTAGCCATTATATTAATGCTAACTGCATTCCCTGTGCCGTGCTCCCCATCTTCATGCCCAGCTATCTTTAAACTGCAACCAAGAACAAAGCAGACTTTGTACCTCACTTATAAATTGTACATTCTGTTTATCCCACTGCGGTCTTTATTCTCCATGTATATAGTATGGAATTTACGAGCAAACATAGGTGGAAATTGTTCCTGTAGCCTTAGAGAAAGGAAGAAAATTAACTAGCAATAAGAGCACATGGGAACATGGTTGCAAACAGGAATCTGATTATTTAATTGATGTATATACTTTTCTATTTGATCCAGCTGACCAAAAGAGCCTAACTCATAAGTTTTAGATACTTATCTTGATTCTTTAAATGTGTATTCAGCATAGAGCAGAAATTGAGTCATAGTATACCAATATAATCTTTTCTCAGATAGTTCTAACTTTAGAATGTTGGTTGTCAAAGAAGAACCTTCTTTGTATATCATGATATCAAGTTATGATATTGTAGAGTAAAATTGCAGTCTAAGAAAAACAAAACACATGGAATCTATCCTGTTAGTATAGCAAAAGGACACTTTTTTTAATTTCCTTCCTCTAAGTCCTTTTTAAAATAAAGTAATGGGTTGTGGATAGTGAGCCCCCTGGTATATAACTTAATAATGAAGTTAACTGCCCTTTTCCTCTTTTTCACTTATATGTATTTGAAGCAAAATACCTAGGAGTAGAGGTTCTTTCCAGATCTTAAAAGTAAAAAACACAACCTATTGTGATCTGGTTCTTTCTCTGCACATTCTGTCATCAGGAAGGGCATCAACTGCCTCTTCCTGAGCAACAGAGTTCCCATCTGAGGGGTTGGGTTTTCTTTCTCAGAATCACCAGAAAAGATATGTTCTTTCATTCACAGACCTTATTGGAAATGAAGGAGTTAAGAAGAACAAGTAAGAAGCAGACCAAGTTTGAAGTACTTAGAGAAAAAGTTGTAAACTTTATTGAGAGTCTGGTGAGGTGAGTCTGTTGCTCTTCAGAACTAAAAATCAGGCTGTTTTCCCAAATAACATTGGCATGATAGCTGTCCATAGCCAAAACAGGACACTTTCCTAGATTAGCCATCATATTAATGCTAACTGCATTCCCTGTGCCGTGCTCCCCATCTTCATGCCCAGCTATCTTTAAACTGCAACCAAGAACAACTAAACTTTATGTTTTTCAGGTCCCTCCATTCATCTTAGGATTGTAATTTTTATTCTTTTTCCATCCTTATGACTTTTTTTATGGCCAGTTTCAAGAACACAGGTTTAAATTGATCTAGTTTGTTAGGCTGGAGCAAGGAGGGTTGGTGGTGGAAACAAAGCATTTCCCCCCTTTCTAATAACAAAGTGTTTGCAGGCACTTTATCCCTTCTTTATCTTTGCTAGGAGTATGCTGGCCCTGGGCCAACCCCAGAAAACAAACAGCAGCCTAGCCATAATGTCTTATTTTTATCCTGAGTAAAGGACTTCTAATTCTAAAGAATACCAGTGCAACTCATTATTAGCACTAAGTACATGTTGAGAAGTGTTCTCATAGTAAATCTGTGTTCTCATAGTAAATCTGTAAGTCCATCAATGCTGCCTATATTTTAAGATGATTCCTTTTTGGGAAACCCAGATTGTTTTGATTCATGGATTTCCCAAAGACAGCTTTATGTAATTGTGTGAGATCACCCACCTAGTCTATCTTTCAGGCAATTAGGACATTCTAGATAAAAACATGAGAAGTGTAAAAAAGAAAACAATAATTACAAAGTAGAAAAAAACTTATTAATCATTACTTGTTTTTTAATGGCAGTTTAAACTTAATAGAAGGCTAAGTGCTGAATAGAATCAAGTACTAAAAAAATAGCAGCTCAGTTATTAAAGACAAAGAGTGATTTCTGATAAATTACCCGATCTTCAAAGTGAAAAGTTCCATTTTTCAGGAATGCGGGGGCAAAGTCATTGTTCCTAGTCACTGGGGAGAAATTTCTAATGTCATGAAAGAGGTCCAAAGGATCAACCAAGTATGACAAAAGGAAATGAGAGAAATGTGTCATATAAAAGTGATGCAACGCAATACTGAACTGACCTACTAGCCAGAAATGGCCTTTTAGAATTCACAGTTAACATTGCCCTACTGACTTTCCTGTTCTTATAGTGTCTAGCCTCAGGTTCCTGGCTCTTCCCTTTTATCAAGTTGTGACCATTGTAGTTGCTACACATGATTTTGTAATGTGATTTAGCATAGTTTCTAGGCCAAATGTCAGGTTTCTGAGTTTTTATAAATCCCAAACTCTAGGCTCTAAAACCAAACAACCATTCTCCCCACCTTTCATGATATGTCTGACTTTTTACCTTTCTCAGTAGTATTGAAATAGAGCTGAGCATGATTAAAATGTTATTGTGAAATCACAAAATTTTCCATACTAGGATTTACTATCTACCAAAATTGACTACCTCAGAAGAGAAGAGATTTGGATTTGTAGCATATTAGAGCTAAAGGGGACCTGGGGAGTCATGTGGCAGCTAAATCACACAGAAAGAGGCTATGACTTATGGAGAGTCCCAGTCCCAGTATGCTGACATCCGTCAAAAGGCCATTTCTTCACACTGTCCCCAAGGACTACAATAGATACTTGAACTGAGCTTGGAGTTCTGGAGAAAAGATACCCTTTAAAGATAAATATAAGCAATAGACTCCGGGAGGCAGGGTTCCTAGTATACCTTGAGCAGCTCTTGCTGAAACTACTGAGAGTGGAGACTTAAATTGCCACTTTCTAAATTACTGTTTTCACCAAAATACAAGCTTCAACTTTATAACCTTTGTTGATACTAAGTGATTCTACCATTTCTCTTAAAACCACCTCTCTTTGCTTGTGAACTCTGAATCCAAAATAAACATCGTGCAGTGCTCTAGTGCCAAAGTAATTGCTTGTTTCTTCTCACAGCAAATAAGTTGCAGAAGTATATTTCGGTGCCAATCTCAAATTTGTAGTTGGACAAAAATTCTAATGTATATTTTGTCACTGTTATTGTTCTTCTAATGTAGCCCAGTGGAAACAAAGTACAAGCAAATATATTGCCTCTGATGGAGGTTCTTTGAGGATATCCAAAAAGGCCTTTTGCCTTGGGAATAAAGTGAATTTCTAAAAATTAAATATATAGATGTTAAAGGGAGAGGAAGTACAAATGTGAAACAGTAGTTTTTTTCTGAAATTGACTCGATCTGGTTGCCTTGTTATGTTTCTGGTCCTTATTACATAGCAGGGATTCCAACAGTCTTTAAGGATTGGGGAGAAACAGCCTGAGGTTGATGTAGGAAGAATTTATGGTCAGAAATCACAGATGGGTAGCCAGTCATCCTGGGAGATAGTCAGCATCACGAACCATTCCTGAGGCTACAGCTAAATTAACTTAATTTTGAGTACTTGAGGTATAGAATGCTGGTCCTTAGGGCCACGTTGAAATCATATCTCTTTGTAAATGTCTTCTATTCAGATTAACTCTGGAGAAGCAGCAGCTTGTAGAAGTGGAACGAGCAGGGGGCCCAGCAGCTCTTGAGATGGGGAGGAGGGAGATGGTGAGGAGTGATATACATGGTTAATACCCTTGTCACTTTCTCTCTTCCTCAAAGCCACTGACCAAACCGGTGGAGGAGGTATAGTGGGAATTTTTCTAGGCAGTAGTAGCCACTCCAGAAGCTGGGGAGAAACCCAGGAGACCAGGAAGAGAGGGTAATTTCCCAGGTGGCTGGGCTGAGGTAGATGCTTTGCTCTGCCTGCACTGGTGGGAAAAGGAGCTGACAGGAGCTGACACAACTGTCATGTGGCCAAAATACTTTAAGCCTAGGACTTAACTAAGCCCCAGGAATCTTTATGAAGGCATGTGAGTTAACTACTTTAATCCAGTTATACTCCGTCTTAAAGTCATGTATACTAAAGCTTCCCCCTTCCAATTTGCTTCCCTTCAAGCCACTAGAGCAGTGTCACTGTCATGGTAGAAACCAGCTGATGAGCTCATTTATACATTCAAAGTGAACTTTTTAATGCTTTATTTTTAAGTTCATATTTCATTAAAATTGGTTTGTCATCTAGCTCATAAGTGAGAGAATCCCAAGTTACAGTGGGTTTTTAAATAATTGAAATTTTAATAATGAACGATTTGCTTATTTTTCAGTACTTTAGGCTTTTCTGCTTTCTAAAGTAAAAAGTAATTCTAACATACAACAAACTTTCCAGGTATCATTGCTATTAGAGATATCAATTAAAATTCAGTGATCCAAAAAGAATTTCCTAAACTCTTAATTCCAGGCTTGAGGCCCGTGTTTTTAATACTGCCAAGAGTTAAATGTTTGTCATGGTAAGGAATGTGGATATCTCAGTTTTCTAAACAATTTACTTTTAGAAAGTATTCGTTAATACTTTAAGAAATTCTACCTTAAAGATTTTGAGCACAAATGTAACTTACGTACATTTGTTCCTAAAGTTTTAAATCAGGACTGAAACGTAGTTTCTTGAACTCTTAAAGAGTCTAGAAGTTTTAAAAAATATCATATGGAAGAGGTACAATTCTGAGTGAGCCTGTACTGGATTTTATATTTGTGTTTTGTTTCATGTTTGTTTTTGTTGTTGAAGTTACTGCTCTTTAAGTAAATAGCAATCTTCCCCAGAGGATTGACAACAGTGTTATATTGAAATTAAATGTGTGCTTACCTAAAGGCTGATAACCTGACTGGCTATTTCAGAGAATACCTTCTGCCTCCTGAGACACAGCCTCTCCATGAGGTGGTGTACTTCAGTGCTGCCCATACCCTTCGTGAGCATCTGAATGCTGCTCCCCGAATTGCCCTCCACACAGCACTGAACAATCCTTATTATTATCTCAAGGTAAGAAGCAGGTTCATTTGTCCGACAGTTTAGTTCAGACCTCAGGCATTATTTATCACAAAAATATTGTAAATTTGCAGTTCTAATGAGCAAGGAGTTAGTTGGCAGCCCAGGGTTGCAACTCTTTCAGATACTTTTAAAAATCCTTTAGACTTTGGAGGGCTTTTTCTAAGCCAGTGAAAATACCAGTCAATACTCAACTAATACTGCCACCTTTGGATCATGTGTAAATGTCTTCCCCTTCATGTGACACAGTTAGATCATGGGCACTAAACTCGAGAGTATAATGCTTGTGAAAATAAAGGAAATGTTTCCTACAGTAACAGCAAACAATGGGTCAAGCTGTATGGCCTAATGAAAGTACTTAAAAGTCCTAGTGGTCCTTTCTGATGATGAAAAGAAATAATTTGGGATTTCATGTCAGATTTTAAACCAAAGAGAAAAGTTTATTCTGAATTTCCAGAGATGCATGTAGAGGATGGCCAGCAATCTGCCAGAGCTAAAACTCCTAAAATCCAGACATATTTGCTAGTAAAAAAGTTATCAACTCAGTTAAGCATCTAGAAATCTTGCCACAAAGGACACCTAACAAGTGACTTCGTAAAACCCATGACGAGTGTTCTAGTGTACTGGTTTCGTTACAAAATGGCACACATACATGCTAAGCATTACACGAGAATACTGAGGATAATCATTTTCAGTGTTGATAGTTGTTAGTGGGGAGCCGAATAATTTCATATTCAAAACAAAATATCAGTTCATTATATAAATCACATATCGAAACTAAAAACCTTTTTGCCTAGTGTTAGGTCACATAAGAGAACTGGCGTGATTTCAGTAGTCTTTGAGAGTATTATAATCTCCACGTGTATTTGTATGTGTGAGATTTTGTTTCTCACTAAGAACCATGGGTTTCAAATAAGTTGAAAAACACTGATGGTTTTTGTAGGGTTTAGGATCTGCAGGTGTTGACAAGTCTTTTGAGAGATCACTTATAGCCTTGATAGTAGTGTGTTGTTATTTATTAATATAGTATAATAATTGCTAGAATTCAGGTAATTTCAAATGTTGGAAGTGGCATTTTATTGACAATCCAAAGAATTCCATAAACTTTTTGTGGGAACCAGAAATGCATTAGAGTCTCAGAAATTAATAACGTATGATTAAAATGAAAAATATGCTTGCTTGTCTTATTCTGAGTATTCTCCCGGTGACTAGGAGCTAGGGATATTATGACCAAGACCTAATCTTAAACAAGCATTGGTTAACTGTTGGAGAATAAATGCAACTCACTAAAGGATAAAGGACATCAATGACTCTATTTATTGGTTTATTAAATTTAGAGTAAGAGTCTATCAGTGTCTGATTTTGTTCCTAATCATTACTCAAAGGTAGTCACTTTACTGTTATTTTTAGAATGAAGCCCTGAAAAGTGAAGAAGGCTGCATTCCAAATGTTGCTCCAGACATCTGCATAGCATATAAACTGCACCTAGAGTGCAGCGGCTAATCAA